CCAAATCTGTAGGATCATCATGTTACTGATGGAGGGTGTCCAGGTTCTTGGCGTCTTGAATAAAGAATTGGACAAAATACATAAACAAAGCAAGGAAACAATGAAGCAACAAAAGCAGAGATATATTGAAAATGAAAATGAAAGTATGCACCACAGGGTGGGGGCGGGCCTGAGCGTGGGGGCTCAAGAGCCCCATTACAGAATTTTCTAGAGGTTTCCACTGGTCACTTCGTGTACACCCTATGTAAATGAAGAGGATGAAGTAAAGTTACAGAGTCATTTACTTGGTGTATGCCCTCTGTAAATGGAAAGGATATTTCCTGTCATAGCTGAAGTGTTTCCAATTGATTTAGTTCTAGGAAGTCAGCATGAATCGGCCTTATGTTTTCTTCTTCCAGGCCCTATTCTCCTGCCTCCATCGTACATGAAAGGGAGAGGCTTAGTCATCCTAGCTGAAAAGGAATGAATTAAGATCAGCAGGTAGAATTCAGCTTGATAAAGGAGGACCTTCCTAGCAATTAGGGCTGAAAATAGCGCAAGAGGCTGCTTCATGAGCGAGTGAGCTCTTAGTCTCCGGAGGGCTCCCATGAATTTACATCAGGGATATCTGAGAATAGATTATTGAAAGGAGGTGAAAGGTAGTCCAGGTGATCGAAGGATTTATTTTATGACCATGTCTGAGGAGTAAGAAATGACTGAGATGAGGGTGACCAGAAGGCCCTACAGGGCAGCGGACATCTGTGCTGGTCTCAGAGGAATCGACAGAAAACTGCAGGAGGACTCGGGGGTGAGGAGGCAGAGATGTTTAGGGCAGGTAGTAGCTTCCTAGGGCTGGTATAACCAGGTGCCCCAAACTGGTGGCTTAGAATAACTTATCCTGCCACAGTTCTGGAGGCCAGAAGCCGAGAGCGAAGTGTTGACAAGGCTGGTTCCTTCTGGGGCTGTCAGGGAGAGTCTGCTCCAGGCCTGTCTCAGAGCTGTAGGTGGTTTGATGTCAGCCTTTGACATCCCTCGGCTTCTAAGTGCATCACCACAGCCTCTGCCTCCACTCACCTGGCGTTCCCCCCGTGTGTGTCCGTATTCAAATCTCCCTATCAGATGAGGAGTCACCTAATGACTTTACTTGAACTCAAAAGCTTTAGTAAAAACCCCATCTCCAAGCAAGGTCACACTCTCAAGCACTGGGGGTGAGGACTCCAACATAGCTTTTCTTTGGTTGGGGGAGCACAATTCAGCCCCTAATAGGGCAGGATTAGTAGACCAATTTGGACAGAGCAGAATGCTTGAGTAGTTTAATAAGGGAAGTAAGGTTGGAAAGAGCATTTCAGGCTCCACTCCTGGAGTCTGTCCATCCCTGTAACTAAGGCGTTGCAGACGAATCAGCTGGTTTTCCATACACAGGAGGTATAGAAGTAACCACAGGAATGGATCAAAGCTCCCTCTGTGAGGATAAAGCCCCCATAGACTGGATCAGCCTGAATTTCTGTTTCAAAGGTCAGAAGTCCTACTCAACTTAGGTTAAGAAAAATGTAAAGAAATTCGGGCTCACATAAGCGAAAATTCCAGGGGCAGGTCTGACTTTGGCTTCAGGCAAGAATAGATCTAACATTTCAGGGCCTTTGTGTGGAGGTCGGGGCTCCCCCTGTCACTAACTTGCAGACTGGCAGGTTGGCCACAAACACCTCCCACTCACATCCTACCCTCCGAGGGCTCCAGCAGAAGAGACTGTGCTCCTGCAAGCTCTGTGAGAAAACTCATCTGATTGGTCTGGCTTGGGTCCTGGGATCATCTCTGAGCCAGTGCCCAGCTGAAGGAAGGAAGTGTGTTCCTGAGTCGCAGGCTCACACTTGCATATCTGAAGCACCTGGAATAGATTCCCCACATGAGTGTTACTGGAAAGGGGTCCCAATTCAGACCCCAAGAGAGGGTTCCTGGGCCTCACGCAAGAAAGAATTCGAGATGAATCCATAGAGTAAAGTGAAAGCAAGTTTATTAAGAAAGTAAAGAAAAAAAGAATGGCTACTTCATAGGCAGAACAGCGGCATGGGCCACTCAGCTGCTTCTATTTATTATTACTTCTTGATTACACGCTAAACAAGGGGTGGGTTATTAATGAGTTTTCTGGGAAAGAGGGAGCAATTCCTGGAACTGAGGGTCCATCCATTTTTAGACCATATAGGGTAACTTCCTGATCTTGCCATAGCATCTGTAAACTGTCATGGAGCTGGTGGGAGTGCCTTTAGCATGCTAATACATTATAATTAGCGTATAATGAGCACTGAGGACCACCAGAGGTCACTCTTGTTGCCATCTTGGTTTTGATGGGTTTTCCCGACTTCTTTACTGCAACCGGTTTTATATAAGCGGGGTCTTTATGACCTGTTCTTTGTGCCAGCCTTCTATCTCATCCTGTGACTTAGAATGCCTAACTTACTGGGAATGCAGCCCAGCAGGTCTCAGCCTCATTTTCCGCAGCTCCTATTCAAGATGGAGTCGCTCTGGTTCAAACAACTCTGACAGGAGGAAGGGCTTCTCTTGTCCACAGAAGGAAGGGGGCGATAGCTGGCTTAGATGACTCACTGGCTCTGTCTATCGACTCAGGGCTCGGTCCTCACTCATCGCTTACCTAAGTGCTGGGCTCCTAATAGGGAGGGTCTCAATAAAACTTCGCCCAATCAGAATAAATGGACAAGTAAGGGAGTATTTGTTCAAAATGTGGGTGACTGGAAGTTGTGAAGTTCTGAGACAGTTCAGGAAAAGGTACCCATACCTTTCAGAAGCCCGATTAGCCTGGAGGAAGGAAGAATGTTGCCAAACACAGAGCTCTTTTGTATTTAGGGCTCTCAGTTTTTCTTCAATCCTTTTTGAGAACCTTGAAGGCATAATTTGTGTTTCAAAACAAAAGGGACTTTAAAGTCCTTTGAAAAGACGCCCCCCCACCCCCCACCGAGGTTTCGGGCGTGTTGAATAGCTCTTAGATAACAGCCTGCTAGTAAGTTAGGTGTAAATGAATGCAAAATACATGTTTTACCTTTGCTTTGAAACTGGCAGGTTTGGAAATCAAGGGGAAGGCAGCTTGCCCGAGGCGTGGTCAGCCTCCACTCCCAAAAGGAAAGGGCTTGAGAAATAAATCACTGAGGCATCTGGCTAAGCCTGAATGGCTTTGCTTTCTTGTCTGGACAAAATGCCAGTTGTACTCCCACGTTATTTCCCTTCCCATAACAGTTATTTGTTTATAATCGCATGACTGGAAAACCATTTGTGAATATTAAAGCTGTATTTTCAGTGCTTGAGTCTATATGTGATTTTTAACTTATTGCAAGTGGCCTCTGTTCTCAAGGGTGAAGCCAGTCTTTAAGTGAACCTTGATCAGTTTGGGTGTGGTGCTCGTGACCTGTGGCTGTGGGGATGCAGGCACAGGGCTGGCTCAGTTGATGGCAGATGTATGTAACACGTGCTGAGTATTCTCAAACTGTGAATGTCTACAGAGCCAGCTGGGATCCTGTTGCAGTGTGGTTTCTAATTCAGTAGATCAGGGCTGGATCTAGCGAACAGCCAATGCTACTGGTCTGTGGACCACAGTTGTTGGCACAGATCTGGCCTCGCTGCTCCACATACCACAGAGTGCTCATCCCCCCACTGCCCTCACTGCCTCTAGAGTGGCCCCGGGAGCCACTGGGTTAAACAGACAGCTGCATGGTTCCCACATTGCTCACACGGTTTCTAGGGCTGCGGGTTCTCTGCATTGGAGGGAGCGCTGAACAGAGCAGGAAATGCACCACATTTCCAGTGTCATCTTCCTGACGGAGATGTCACTAGGCTGGCTGGGGGACCTCAAGGCAGATGGAGTGGTCCGTTCACGGCTGCCCTCCTTCTTGCTCTTGCTCCTCCCTGTCCTATCCTCTCTTCTCTGTGTTCTTGGGTTTTGTAATTATATAAACCATACACACTTATAGGAATGCAGAGAGGGAGTCAATTTATATGGAAGGGAATCAAGTGAAGAGCAGACATGGCCTCCCTGACCCCCGAATCCCAGTCCCCAAAGGTCAGCTCTGTTAACACATTCTGATTATATCCGCTAGGGTGCTTCAGCTCCCACAGCAGAAACCCCAGTTCCCACTGGCTTAGCTGCAAAGGGGGGTCTTTATCTTGTCCAAAGTTGGGCTCTGGGGTTGGTTGATTTAGTTGTTCTTAGTGTTACTGGAGTTCTCTGACTTCTACTGTGGGTCATCTACACCACGGAAGTCATCCTGAGGCTAGTTCTTCTTGAGGTCAGATGGCCATAGTAGCAAGTGGGCAGCGTGCTTCTGCATTCTTACTGCTGGGGAGAGATTGTTACTCAATCCTCCTCTGTGTCAATCAAGTCCTTCCCTTCAATCTGGATCAATGACAGTGGCCAGTAGATGCTGTGTTCTGACTGGCCAGTCATGTTGGAGCCCTGGAGCTGGGGACTTGAGATCTTCCTAGAAGTGGGAAAAGGGGATTCCCAAACATAGGGCTTTTTTAGGAAGGAAGGAAGGGGAATGAATACTGGGTAAGGGGCTTATAGGGTCCACATCTTTCCAGAAGTCTCCATGCGTATGTGTGGAGTCTTGATATTCATTCATTTATTTATGTAGTGCTGACAGCTTGCTGGGTGCATAGATTTGTCCCATCTATGCTAACAATAAACCATTGAGAGAGGTACCATTCTTTTTCTTGTTCGTGGGTAAAAAACCAAGTCAAACACTGTGCAAGTAACTTGCCCACTTACATACTCATACGGCATGTAAGTAGAAGAGCGGCGATTTGAACCCAGGTATTCTGGCTCCACACTCTTAACCACTGGGTAATTCGGACTCCTAAGTTGCTTCCTGTAGTTTGGTTTTCTCATCTCTGAACCAACCTTAGAAGCTAGAGATTGGACTGCACTGTCCCTGCAGTCCCCATGTGTCTCTAACAGAGATGCCATGGGAGATAGAAGGATGGGAGTGAATTCAAAATCATGTTTCTGTCCCTAGATCCTAATAACTATTATCACCGCCGGAATGAGATGACCACCACTGATGACTTGGATTTTAAACACCACAACTATAAGGAAATGCGCCAGGTAAGACCCAGATCACAAAGCCTCATGCCAGGAACTCATCAAAAAAAGCAACATATTATGTGTCCATAAGCGCTTAAATTTTTTTTTCCAGAAGTTGATGATTAGGGATCTGAATGATCATTTGATGTGCTGAAGACACATTAAATGCTTGTCGTTTCAAGATTCGGGTTCAGGTGACCAGAGGAAGGCTTCCTGGCTGGCAGATTGTTGAAACACAATTTGAATCCAGGTTCTTCTCAGTTAATTACTCTAGATCTTAAGAATTATTGTGGTTTTGAGTGCTATTTAAGGATGTTGGTCAGATGCAGAGTGGAAGAAGAAAAAGGATCTAGGATAACACGATAATAATAGCAGAAAATATTCACATAGGACCAACTTATGTACATGACTGTGTTCGTTCCTAATAACTCTAGAAGGGTAGGGACTGTGGTTATTGTTATTTGCAGATGGGAAAACAGCACTGAGAGACTATAGCACTACCCCTTATTATTCAGATTCTCAGAGTTTCAATCTTGGTTGCACATTGGAATCACCTGGGGAAATTTGTAAAGCTAGTGATAATTGAGTCCCATCTCAGGCCAGTTAAAGTAGAATCCTTAGGGGAGAGGAGCCTGGGGATCCAGATTTTTAAATCCTCTTTTTGTGATTCTGCTGTCCAGCCAGGTTTCAGAACTACTGGTTGATAGCTTCATATCTCTTAGTATTGTTAGAAAGAAAAGACAATCCCAGATGAGATTTTTCCCCAGATTTAATTATAGAAACCCAATAGTTCTGAGCTTTTGACAGCATTTGCATACTGAGTGCAGAAGGGGGAAGGGACAGTGTGTTTATTAGGACAAGCTAAAAAGGCAGTACCTACGCTAAGTGCAGTGCCTATGAAATCCTGTTCTGCGCCCACCCCCAGCAGGTGCTAGAAAGCATGGGGAGGAGCTGGCAAATGAGAAATCCTTAGAGAGCTAAGAATCTGAAGAGACAGAACATGCAGAAATGTCCTTCTGAATACATTTACAGAACAAGGATCCACCAAGGGCAAATTAACATGGCTCAAAGGGAGGGCTTGTAGGTGCTAAGGGAGGGGAGCAGCCATCCAGTACAAATGTGGAAGATGTTTCTGAGGTCAGAGTAATTAAGTGGAGCTCCAATCCCATGGAATGAACAAGCCTGGTTTGTCTTGATGTAATCTAACTTGAGATACTCACACAGCTTCCAGACACCTGTCAGCACAGACTTAGAGGTGGGATGTGCTAAGAAATCTTCTTGCTGTCTTGCTCTTCAGAAATCAAGATAATGTGTTTGGACTTGAGGGCTGTGAATCATCCCTGCTGCTCTACATTTTTGGGGTATTTATATGGCTCTGCTCGCCATTCCATTTTATGGAGCACTGATGTGTTAACTCCGCTTTGCTCACTGGACGTCTCAGCACAGCTTCTTGAGCTCAGAAATGAGACAGATATCAACTCAGTGCAATTAATGTCAAAAGCAATAAATCTAAATGCATTTAAAATGAGTGACTTGCACAGAGACTTTAGGTAGCTGTTATCTGTAAATAGTTGTCTTGCGTGGAGACTTGGGGCTCTTTTCTCACAAGGAGAGCAAGTGGAGTATGCTTCATTACCCTAGGCAACTCTGATCACTACTGGAGCCAAGAGGGACCTTTGGATAATCAGTGCAGCCCCCTCAGGTGACACTGGAAGACCCCTGTGAGATCCCACAGCTCAGCAGTTATCAACTAGAGACTGTCCGGGAGAGCACCCATCAATCCCGAAGAGTCTTCAAGCCAGAAATGATTTGCCATTTGGATTCCTGGCTCCTGGGGATGGGAAAGAAGTCAACGTTTTGAGCAATTTCCCCATATGGAGTCTGCTAGGTTACTGCAGCAATCTTTCTCCCTCGGGAAAAACTTGTTCATTTTTCCTACTATTGAAAGAGACATTTACAACAAACCAAAAAAATGAGAAACAGAAGCAGGAAGCAAGAAGTGAAAATAGAAAACCTTATTGCATTGTACGAGGAAGATAATGTGGGGACATGTGACTCTTTTGTGCAGACAGCACTGACTTGCAAGGCACAGTTCCAGGCAGAGGGGAGCTGCAGGTGGTTGGGTGGAGAAAGGAGGAGGAGAGGAAGGAGAAAGTCCTGACATTGACACTATAAGGCGGAGAAAGGGAATTGTTCCAAGAAAATACGGAGGACCTTCATAGCGTATGTTGCAATTTATTCTTGCTTAGTTGCTGGTTTACGTGTACATTGCCTGTCTCCCTCACTTGGGGCAATGAGGGAAGAGACCCTGTCATTTTACCATCCATAGTGTGCACTTGATCAAGGTGTGTATTTGAGGTCCTTATAGTCATGGGGGATGGGAGAGAGAAGGGAGCCATCTGCTTGGCCTTGGTTTGGGAGGCTTTGGTTGCAGAGGGGGTCAGCTGTCATCCAACGTGCGTGGCTGGCACTGCCAGGCAGGGGTGGAGGGAGGGTACTCTGAGTAGAGAGGACAGCAAGAGTGAAGGCATGAGGTCAGAGCCGACAGGTGTGTTCTGTGACAATTTGCAGGTAGCTGGGAGGAGGCTGGTCCTGAGTGCCAGGAGAGGCTTTTATCCTGACGTGGGGGTCTGTGGAGGTTCTTTAGGTGCACAGAGCTGTCTTTCTGGAAGTTGTATGGAGGGCTGGCCCCTGGGCCTGAAGAAGGTTGAGAAGAGAGGCATTTCTGAGGCAGGCTGCCCAGTGGAGGTCACCTATTGGAGTGAGTTGGGGAGAGAGAGGGGCCTGGTGTGCTTCTGTGGAGAAAAGGAAGAAGTGATTTTGAGGACAAGGTTAATGACCTTCTTTGGTTTGGTCACAGTGTTGTCAGGTCCCAAACGCCCAGGAAGTACTGGCTGACGGCCCATATGTGATGTGGATAGAAAAAAGTAACATAGGCAGACATGGGCTGGAAGGCAGCCATCTAATGACATTGATTTCCAGGGCACCTAAGGATAGCTTGGGGACATCAGGCTGTGGGGACCATGGCTGACCCACCCACTTGTACCACGCTCAACCTGACCCTGTGGGGACAGGAAGCCAGGGCAGAGCAGCAAGCCTGCACATTCAGATACACCCAACTCCTTTCCTTCGCTCTTCCCTTCTTCTGGAATTTCTTTTCCATTGGGCAAGGTGCGGTGCCTGTTTCTCAGGCAAATGAGGAAAGATGGCAGAAGAGAACTTTCCTCTTCCCTACTCTCCTCTTTAAAAAACAAACAAACAAACAAACAAACCAAAACAAAACTTGCATTCACTGGATAAACAACATTGTGTCAGCATCAAATGCAAACCAAAAGCCTAAAGACAAATCCTCCACGAACCCACTACTCTAAAAAAAAGGCAGTTTTCATTTTCTCCCCATTTCCATGTGGTGTTTGAACTTCTGTATTCACAGAATTCCTACGGTTTTGATGAGAGGATAGTTACATCTTGGCCCTGTGTTTCCCAGCGAATATTGGATCATTAGCCATTTTCCATGCTGTCTTCATAATTGTGATAGTGAGGTTGCAGAATGTTCTGGTGAGTGGATGCATCATACTTTTCTCAGCTTCTTTCCTGCTGTGGAACATTTGGATATCTCCCAATTCATAACTTTTCATGAATACACAGACAAAGTATGAAACATGCCACAACAAGTGTCAGTGTGCATAACATTTTACCATCTTTATGAAAAATTTCCTTCTGATATTTTGCCAGAAATTGAGGCTCTTGATTCTCTCTCCTTCAGTAGAGAGTGAAGCAGCAGAACCTGGGATTCAGCAGACACCAGGATGCAAAGTTTATTTCTATCTCAGAGTTGGGAAAACAGAGTCTTGAAGAGACTAAGAGTCTTGCAAACCCTGGTACTTTCTAAGATGATGTTTCTCAACATTCTTTTTCATTACTACCCACCTAGGGAAAGTTTTTAGACTTCTTTTCTTTTCTTAATTATCCTCCCCTCATTATATTAAATATTAAGAAATAGGATTTTGCTAGATAGGGTTGAGCTTTGGGGGAACACAAAGCATCGTAATACCTAAGACTTTTTTAGCCACAATTTTCAGCCCCTTGGGGTGATGTCATCCCTTTTGAGAATACATGCTCTAAGGTCATGGTGAAAATTCTATTCCTTACTCTGACTGAAATCATCAAGACCCAAACATTTACCACAAAGACTCAAACTCCAAAAAACCATCTTTGACCCCTCTCAAGAATAATTGTATTCCCTTACAAGAATTAATTGTGTTTAAACGGGAAACATCATTCCTGGGGATGTTCACGGTTGCCTTGCTGAGAAGAGCAGAGTGGGCCACCACCCAGGTCTTTGATGGTGCTGGTAGCCACTGGAGAGATGCTTCCTGGCATTGCAGAGGGCCACTGTGCAGAGAGAATTGTAGAGAAACTTCACTGAGAAGAAGATTTTTCAAAGGCCCATGGTCTCATGTGGGAAAGATGCTTATGATACCATGGCACAGTGGCATGCACTTTGTTAACCAATACTGTGCCTTCGTTGGGAAAGTGTGGCTGCTATGAAAGTACAGTGATAGTGGGTAGAATATAAGGAGGTGATGCTGATGACTCATGGCCCAAGCATCTCCCCATGCCATAGCTAAATGTGCATCTCAAGGGAAGATGATGCACATCTTCTTCCAGTGTCAAGGTCGTGATCACTAGTACTGACAGCACATTTCTCCTGCAGCTAATTGGAAGGGGGTGGGGTAACAGTGAAGGAAGCCAGCCTGGGCTGAATGCTTGCATTCATTGCCTAGTTCGTGATGAGCCACCTGGCTTTATGTCCATAGAGCTAGTCACTGATCTCAATGTAAGACAGTGAATTGCCTGCCAGATGGGATTTGCTAAGGTCAATGCTGTTGGCTGAGAATGATTGCATCAGCAAGGACTAGTACTTGGGGTCTCAAAGGAGATGGCAAGTATGCTATGGCCATCAGAATGGTCACAGTGTGCAGCCAATAAAACAAGCAGCAGGGATGCACTGGTTCTCATTTCTCTACTACACCTTCATGGACAGATAGGGGTGTGGGAAGAGCCCTGAGATGCCAAAGTCCTGGCTTCTCCTGCTCCCAGCTGGGTGACCCAGGGTAAATTATTTGATGGCTTTCTGGGCCTTAGTCTCCAAGTCTGTAGAATGGGAAAAATCTTCTCTGCCTTCTCTACTTTACCCGCCAGTCATGATGATAAGACTTAGAAGAGAAATGGAGCATATTCTTACTGTTCTTGTTAACACAATTGGTGATGTGATTACTGTGTCTTTTATTAAAACGTGATGCTATTCATATGTGGCCCCCTGCTGTCCCTGCAGTGTCTGTCTTCATGGTGATGACTGTAGAAGCTACATGTCCTTTGCATGTTGCTTCTCCATTTATGATAGGTTTCTGTTGTAGAGTCTTTCCGTTAAGAGTCCTTGTAGCCAGCTTTCTCTCAGCTAAATATTGTGACACAAAGTGAGTTATCATAAAGGGAAGCCTGTTTTAACCCCTGGAGTAGTAAGAGAGTTAGACCCTGAATTCCAAGTCAAGGCTGCACCTGTCACCTCTCGTAGGCATGTCATCATAGCCAAGCTATAGCAGCAGTAAATCTTCCCACTCCTTTAGAAACGCTTCTTGATGCTCATTAAACCACTCTTCCCAGTCATTACAGAATGTTGTGTTATGAAAGGCATATGAAGCACACAGTCATATAACTCCAACGTATCATAAATTTTACATAATACCAATTTTCCAGTTCTAATAGATTTCAACCCACCATAAAATTTGCAACAGATTTGTTTATCTACACTTTACAAGGACATTTTATGGATAATTCAGTTGATCCGATTTTTTGGCAGCTTGCTAGAAAGCATTCAGGTCCACACCGCCCCACTGTGGGCTATGCCCTTCCTCTGTCCTGTTCCAGCTCAGCTTTCAGAAGGCCACGGGCCTCCCTAATGGGCACCTGCCCACCGGCCACCCTGGCCAGGATGGCCTTCCTGTGTGTTTCTGCAGCACCTGGGCTTCCTTCCTGGTCTTTAACACACTGTCATGAAACTGTCCCTGGAGCCCTCTGGCCCCTACTGCATGGTCTGGTGCCTGGCTCAATAAAGAGATGCCCTTTGAATCAGATCTTCTTTCACTTGGGTATTGATAAACAAATTTAGCCTAGCAAATCACAGCTACTTGCAGTGAACTCACAGGTACTCGTTCAGTGACACGAGGCAAGGCAACCTCTAGGCAGAGGGTGTCTCTGGCCTTTGACCTTTAGGGTAGCCTTTTCTCCTATGACTTGCAGAGCCCTTGGTACCTCCTTTGGCCCCTGGTCTCATTTTCCGAGACCTCAGCTATCAGTGTGATGAGCTGACTAAAAAGGCAAAATTCAGAAAACAGCATGTATTTATTTCACTTCCTTGCTGAAGCCTGCTTTTCCTACCGTTTAACCCCATGATTCCTGTTGTCATGGTGATCCGGTGCTCTCCTTACTTAGTGGCAATGAACTGGGTCATTGCATGCCTCTTATTGGCTGTGTGCTGCAAGCTCCAGGAGGGAAGGAGCAGTGTGTATTTGCTCAACCCAACAATGTAGATGCTCATTAAATTATGAGAAAAAGTTGATATTAAGATATATTTATTTGGTCAGGCATAAAAGATAAAAGGCTGAGTCTGTCTCCTCAATGATCTGCAGTGTAGTGAGTGGGCAATAAGAAAACAGGAAATCATAGTTAAAAAGTAATAACCACCACTGAGGGAGGTGAGAACCACAACCAGGGAGGTGAGAACCACAACAAAGGAAGTGATAACCACAACCAGGGGAGTGATAACCATGATGAGGGACCTGATGACCACAATGAGAGAGATAAAACCACAACCAGGGAGGCGATAGCCACAACCAAGGAAGTGATAGCCACAACCAGCAAGGTGATAACCACAACCAGGGAGCTGATAACCACAACGAGGGAGGTGGTGACCACAATAAGAGCAATATGAACCACAACCAGAGAGATGATAACCACAATCAGGGAAATGATAACCACAACCAGGGGAGTGATGACCACAGCGAGGGAGGTGATGATCACAGTCAGGGAGGTGAGAACCACAACAAGGGAGGTGGTGACCACAAACAAGAGAGGTAAGAACCACAACCAGGGAGGTGAGCACCACAACCAGGGGAATGAAGACCACAATGAGGGAGGTGATGGCCACAACAAGAGCAATAAGAACCACAGCCAGAGAGGTGTTAACCATAACCAGGGGAGTAATTACCACACCCAGGGGAGTGATAACCACAACGAAGGAGGTGATGACAACAACCAGAGATGTGATGACCACAACCAGGGAGGTGATAACCACAACCAGGGAGGCGATAACCACAACCAGGAAGGTGATAACCACGACTAGGGAGCTGATAACCACAATGAGGGAGGTGGTGACCACAATAAGAGTGATAAGAACCATAACCAGAGAGATGATAACCACAATCAGGGTAATGATAACCATGACCAGGGGAGTGATGACCACAAAAAAGGAGGTGATAAGCACAATAAGGGAAGTGATAACCACGACCAGGGAGGTGATGACCACAACCCAGGAGGTGATAACCTCACCCAGGGGAGTGATAACCATGACCAGGAAGGTAACAACCACACCCAGGGAGGTGATAACTACACCCAGGGGAGTGATAACCAGAACAAGGCAGGTGCTGATCACAACCAGAGAGGTGATAACCACACCCAGGGAGGTGATAACCGCAACCAGGGAGGTGATGACCACAACCAGGGAGGTGAGAACCACAACAGTGAATGTGAGAACCACAACCAGGGTGGTGATAGCTATAGCAATGGAGGTGATAACCACAACCAGGGAAGTGATGACCACAATGAAGAAGGTGATGATCACAACCAGAGAGGTGATAACCACAACCAGGGAGGTGATAGCTATAATCAGGGAAGATGTCACCGTAACCAAAGAGGTGATAATCACAACCAAGTATGTGATAGCCACAACCAGGGAGGTGATAGTCACAACTAAGGAAGGTGTATTACTTCATTCTCATGCTGCTATGGAGAAATACCTGAGACTGGGTAATTTATAAATAAAATAATTTTAATTGACTCAGAGATCTGCATGACTGGGAAGGTCTCAGGAAACTTACAATAATGGCTGAAGGCACCTCTTCACAGGGTAGCAGGAGAGAGAATGAATGCCAAGTGAAGGGGGAAGCCCCTTATGAAACCATCAGATGTTGTGAGAACTCACGATCAGAAGAACAGCATGAGGGAAACCACCCCCATGATTCAATTACCTCCCACCTGGTCCCTTTCATGACATGTGGGGATTATGGGAACTACAATTCAAGATGAGTTTTGGGTGGGAACACAGCCAAACCCTATCAGCAAGTATCTCAGTCCATTCATGCTAAAATACTGTAACCTGAGTAGCTTATAAATAACATAAATCTATTCAGAGTTCTAGAGGCGGGAAAGTCCAAGATCAAGGTACTGGCAGATCTAGGGTCTGGTGAGGGCTCACTTTCTGGTTCACAGGGCCATCGTTGTGCTGCATTCTCCATGGCAGATGAGCAAACAAGCTTCTTTGGGCCTCTTTCATAAGGACACTAATCACCTCTGAGAGGGTCCAGCTCTTCATGCATTGGGGATTAGGTTTCAGCCTATGGATTTTGGGGGACATAAACATTTGGAGGATAACAGGAAGTGATAGCCACAACCAAGCGGAAAGCATGGGACGGGATGGGGGCAATGGCCAGGAGTTTCTTCCCAGGCGGGTGATGGTAGAGCAGGTGCTGGAAGGAAAGTAGGCATTATCTAGGGCAGAGGGATATAAGGAGAGTGTTCTGGGTAGAGGCGATAGCAGCTGGGGTGTGCAGAATGTGGATGCACTTGGGAGGCTGTGGAGGAAAGCAAGAGGTTTCCATCTTCTTGGGAGCTCTGTCCTTTTAGTGCGTAGTCATCAATGCTTAGAGTTTTGGATTCACTTTGTTTTTCAGTTGATGAAAGTTGTGAATGAAATGTGTCCCAATATCACCAGAATTTACAACATTGGAAAAAGCCACCAGGGCCTGAAGCTGTATGCTGTGGAGATCTCCGATCACCCTGGGGAGCACGAAGTCGGTGAGAAGGGCCCCTCTGGGATGCTTGGCCCCTTCATCTTTGGTACCCATGTAAACAGTTAGGAGATTGTTTACCCTATGAGAAGATTCATGCCACAGGGCATCAGCTGTCCACACCACTGCTGTCTCACGTAGACAGATTCTGCACATGTTGGCTCTGTGAACCACTCATCTTATGATATGGACTATAGAATTATTTACACTGGAAATACCCATCTTCTCTCCAAAGGGAGCATATTTCATTCTCTGTCGTCCACCTCTGAGACCAACCACAACAGCCAAAGAAGAAAGTGGCTGAGGTGGGCAGGACAGAACTTCTTCCTCCTTCAGGATTCCCTGATCGTTAATGGTTCATATTAGAGGAGCTCCTCCCGCTTTTTAAAAAAATTCAATTCTATTTTTAGATATTTCCTGTTTTCAGCCATTTCCCATTCAGTCACTCCCTAGCCTGCACCTCTATAGGTCAGATGGGCTTCTTTGTTTTTCTTTTTGGTAAATCTGGGAGCTCTTTAGAAATCTGCTGATATCTAAGTACAAAGATTTGTCTGATTTACTTGAACATTCATCAAAGTCTCAGGAGTTCCTCTCAGGAGGTTTTTTGTTTTGTTTTGTTTTAGATGGAGTTTTGCTTTTGTTGCCTGCTGGAGTGCAATGGCACAATCTCGGCTCATGGAGCCCTCTGCCTCCTGGGTTCAAGCAATTCTCCTGCCTCAGCCTCCTGAGTAGCTGGGATTACAGGCATGTGCCACCATGCCCAGCTAATTTTTGTATTTTTAGTAGAGACGGGGTTTCTCCATGTTGGTCAGGCTGGTCTTGAACTCCCGACCTCAGGTGATCCGCCTGCCTTGGCCTCCCAAAGTGCTGGGATTACAGGAGTGAGCCACTGCACCTGGCAGGTGTTTATTTCAAATAATAAAAACTTTATCTTCTGGTAAAATCACATTTCCTCAAAAGTAGCAGCTTTGCCAATGAGGGAAGGAAATGTGTTGTCAGCTTGAGCCCAACACTGATAAATGCCAGGCCCTAGTCCTTTCTGGCTGCTGTAACAAAATATCAGAGGTTGGGAAATTTATAAACAACAGAACTTTATTGCTCACAGTTCTGGAGGCTGGGAAGTCCAAAGTCAAAGCATGGGCAGATTCAGTGCCTGGTGAGGGCTGTTCCTCTTAAGACCCCTTCTTGTCTTACATGGCAGGAGCAGAAGGTCAAAAGTGCCTGACTAGTTCTCTGGAACCCTTTTATAAGAGGAGTAATCTTTTCATCACTTCCTGAAGGGACCACCTCTTTTACTTATTTTTCCTTTTTTTGAGACGGTCTCATTCCGTCTCCCAGGCTGGAGTACAGTGGCATGATCTTGGCTCATTACAACCTCTGCCTTTTGGGCTCAAGCAATCTTCCCACCTCAGCCTCCTGAGAAGCTGGGACTATAGGTGTGCATCACTATGCCCAGCTAATTTTTTTTGTTTGTTTTTTGTAGAGTTAGGGTTTTGCCATGTTGCACAGACTGGTCTTGAACTCCTGCACTGGAGCCCTCTCCCAAAGTGCCAGGATTATAGGTGTGAGCCGCTGTGCCCGGCCAGCCCCTCCTCTTAATACTCACGTTTGATCTTAAGTTCCAGCATATGAATTTTAGGGGGGCACATACATTAAACCATAGCACCCTAAGATTTAAAAGCTGAGCTCTGAAAGAAAAAATACCTAAAGAAAGCCCACTTTACACTGCGTCACTGCTGATTTGCCCTGATGGACTATTTTCTGCTTATATTCATTTGTCTTTGTTAAACTTAATAGGAAGTTATTTTAAGAAAAATAATTGCCTCCCAAAAGAGAGGCACTGATTGCTATGGCTTGTGCTCAACTTGTAAATGTTAAGCCCTAAGCACTATGTTATTTGATCGGTTCTTGGTAAGTAAGAATGGACATTATTACCCTGTGACAGGTGTCATGTCAGATTTTTCTATACATTTTCTTACGTACCTGACTCTCTGGGAATAAGACAGTTGTCCTGATGTCATTTTAGAGGTTTGTTTGAAAGAACAAATAGGGCTAAAATGGTAAGCTTTTATTATTCAAGACTTTCCCCCTAACACAATATGACAAGCACTGTTTGGCCCTAAGTGTTTCAACATGAACCTGTGCTTCTCTCTGTCTTTGAGTAAAGGTGAGCCCGAGTTCCACTACATCGCGGGGGCCCACGGCAATGAGGTGCTAGGCCGGGAGCTGCTGCTGCTGCTGGTGCAGTTCCTGTGCCAGGAGTACTTGGCCCGGAATGCGCGCATCGTCCACCTGGTGGAGGAGACGCGGATTCACATCCTCCCCTCCCTCAACCCCGATGGCTACGAGAAGGCCTACGAAGGGGTAATGGCCCTGGCCCATCTCACCCAATAGGATGTGGGCAGTGAGGCCCCAGCTCCAGAGTATGCCCAGCTCCAGGGTTATGCAAAATTCCACCTTACGAGCTTTATTTATTTATTTTTTGAGTCGGAGTCTCCCTCTGTCGCCCAGGCTGGGGTACAGTGTCACGATCTCCACTCACTGCAACCTCTGCCTCCTGGGTTCAAGCGATTCTCCTGTCTCAGCCTCCTGAGTAGCTGGGATTACAGGCGCCTGCCACCACACTCAGCTAATTTTTGTATTTTTAGTAGAGAGGAGGTTGGCCAGGCTGGTCTCAAACTCATGACCTCAGGTAATCCGCCAGCCTTGACCTCCCAAAGTGCTGGGATTACAGGTGTAAGCCACCATGCCTGATCACACAAGTTTTATTTTTGAGTGTCTCTGCTGAGGCAGGGAAACCCACAAGGTTTATGAAAGGTGCAAAGCAGGCACTGAGAATGATGGTGGTCTTGAGATGTGGACGTGCCGACAAACTGGAGGAAGTGAAGATGAACAGCAGTATTGGTATATATATAACGATAATGGAATCCAGTAGTACCACTTTATGTTGGCTAAGCACTTAATCATGGCATGTGTTAGCCTTGATTATTGCCTTTAATCTTCTCATCAGTCTTCTGAGGAAGTTGTTTTATTATTCTGATATATTCTTTATATTTTATGTCCCAATTATATAGAACATATTTATGTTATAGGTGTGTATAGAATATGCACATGTACAGAATTATGTATAAAGAGAACATAGAGTATAGTTAGTATTATGCTGTGTTGTGTATTGACAGTGATATATCACAATACCTGGGAATAAAATGGAAAATTATATTTAAACAATGGTACCTATCAAATACAAGCTTTACAGTGTGTGCCAGTGTATTATTTTCTTGCATATTGTTATTTGATTTCATTGCTACTTCTTTTTTCATGTAGGTTCACCTGGCCATGTATGGAAAGATGGAAGGTATGGGCGTGGAAGAGGAACTAATGCTTTTTTAAGTCACTTCCATGTTGGCCCAAGGGGGTGGGTTCTCTGAATTCCCTCTTTGTGAGTAATTTGCGAACTCATCTACCACCTTTTTTCACTTCAGATATTTTAATTATGGAAGTTTTTTCAATATTCTCTCTTTTATGATTGCCATCCTTTTGGTGTCTAAGGTCATTCCAGAGGTTCCTGTAGAGTATTTTTCCTTCTCTTCCTCAGGTGTATTTATGTGGTATGACAGTTATGCATTCTGTTATTGGTATTAGGGTCCGCGTGAATGCAGCCTGTGCCTTCCTCACACTCTCCTGTCTCTCTTTTTTTTCTCTCTGTGTTCTTCTTGTTAGTTCGTGTAGGTTTCTGGTTCCCTGGGTATCTGTTCTGGATATGTTTTTCTACTGTATTTGATTATATGTTTTGACTTATCTATATTCTAATTCAATCTTTCTTCTGTTATTATTATTATCTATCGTTCTGCTTCTTTGTTGTTATCTTTCATGAGTCGTATTCATTTAACAGATATCGGTTCTCTCCTAGGAAAGTTCCCAATCCACTATATTGCAATCCCTGAGTGGTTTTCTGTCAGGAAAATGCCACGGTGAGTCAAAATAGCCTCATCACACTCATAAGCAGCCAAAAGGGCCAGGCTTAACCCCCATTGGTATTTGCTGAGGATAGACATTTAGATAGAGACAAAACCATTTTTTTTCTTCATGTTTTCTCCAAAGCAGATAGTGGTGCTAGATAATAACTACTTTAGGTGGATATTTGAGGAGATTCTTCGTAGAGGAGAACATCATTTAATTATATGTCTTAACAAGCAGTGGAGTCAAAACCAAAACATCTCCCCTGAATTGCACATGTTTGTTACTACCTTACTAATATCTTTCTGCACTGTCGGTTTAATCC